GAATGGCTCCACAAGTGCTCAACTACTAAGGAGTCGGTTATTAGGCCTATGTAACCTCATCATATTTCTCCTTTCCTTTTGTTTTGGGGAAGAATATTTTTTATGATGTCAATAATATGAATGTTGTTCATGATGTGCTACAGCCATTATGGAAATATTTGATTCAGGGCCAGGTGATGTGAGCCTGGTGTTATGAGAATTTTAGCTAAAGCTTTATAACAGGAATGACACATGTATAAAGCTCTTGGAGAGTGATTAGACTCATTGGGCATTTAGGAAAGGGCTCTGGCATTGTTCCTATTGGTAAACTAGTGTGGAATGTACCATGTGTAAGCCATTACTGGGAGGACACTGTTTGCTGTCATCTTTATCCATTCCAAGTCATTCTTTGTGATTCCCCTTACAGCCCCTTGCTCTGACATTACCCTTCCTTTCCAATAATGTCGGCAAACTCTTGCATTTTCCTGGAAGAGGAATATATGGCATACTGACTTGCTACAACCTGACCTCATCTGATTGCTTCATTACATGATTTTTTTCTAATATTATTATCATTGTTATTATTACTAGTATTGTTGTAAAATAAAATAAAACCTAAGTTAGCAATAAAGGGTAGAGCTGCGCTCATGAAATCAAATATTGACACTACTAACAGTAATAAAGAATAAAGGTATATAAAAAGATGAAGAAAAAGAGTAAATATGTGACATCTGTTAAGTCTTGTAATTGATGATTCTGTAATTACTAAACACTTCTAGAGCTTTATATTTGTAAACAAAATTAATAAGGTAAAATCACAAAGGAACTAGCCATCAGTGTACATGACCTCCTTGCATTGTATCAGAGATCTGGATTTTTTTACCAAATATTCAAGGAGTGGAGGAAAAAGGTGAGGCCAGTAATTGACTCCTTGGTATTTGTGGAGCCATCCTTTATGGGAAGAAAATTGACAGAATAAAATTACAATAGGCAGTGCATATACCCAGCATCTTTAATTTGGAATTCTTTTACAGTTTGTGAGTATTTTTTAAACTGTGTATACTTGCTTTTTCATTTAGTTTAGAGTTGGAAAAAATCCACATGAGGCATGCAGTGTTGATAAAGTATGACCTTGTTACAGGCCTTTTGCTCTTCTTCTTCTTCTTCCCCCTTTTTATTCTTCTTTTCTTTTTCTTTCTTCCTTTTCTTCTCTTTTTTTCTCCTTTTTTTTTTTTGTCTTTTTTGCACAGTAGTCATCATATCCAAATACCAATTTTTAAAATTTTCCTTCCTTCATTTCCAAACAAATGTAATGTAATTTTAAAAAAAGAAACATTCTTAGCTTTTTCTTCTCTGTGTATTTTTTCACATTTTCTCTTAAAATGGGCCGAAAAAGTTAAAGTACTTAATGTAAAAGTGAAAGTTTTTTTGGGGTTAACCTGTCTCATAGTGTGGCACTTTCAGAAACTCATTCTAAAAAGATGGACAGTAGAGATGCAAACTGTAAAATTTGAAGAAAATAGATGAGGGACACTAGTTTCTTTTTATGTTTTTATCAGCTTTTTATTACCCCACCCCCCTTCTATTCCTTCAGAACAGGCTCCATAATGCTTTCATCACACAGATTTGAACCAAATTGGTGAGTTACAATGAACTTTTATTTTCCAAATGTTCAGAATTCAAGCAGAATAACAAGGAAGATGATAGTAGAGAAGAAACTGACAGCAAAGATCCTCTGCCTGTGACTGTGCCAGAAAGGGTTACAGACCAGCTGGACTGCTTGGTAGAGATGGTTGGGGAAGAAGAGGATAAAAATGCAAGATCCAGGAGTGGATCACCCCCACCACAGCCACCTCCACAGAAGTCCAAGAAGCAGCTCCCTCCACTCATCAAAATAAGCTCTCGACCCCCAGGTGTGTTGAGCTAGGGTTAGAGAGGAAAATGCTTAGAGAGTTTGCCTATATTCACTTCTATATGTAATGAATATGGAAATTACTTGAAAATGTATGAATGTGTTCATAAAATCTTATCATAAGAAATATTGCACATAAGAATGTGAAAAATAAACCCAGGTTGATATAGATAATTGTGTTTGTGTGTGTGGATGGGAGATTATACCTAGACATAATCAGATAATTATTTTCTTTTTTTTAGTATACTATTTTACAGATGACATTTTAAAGATAAATTTTGTGTCATAATCACACATCAAAGATTAGTATGTCGTATTGATTGGCAGTTTTAGATTAGGAAGTGTTGTAAATGCAGATTTTTTCATCTTTTTAATCTGAATTAAACGTTAAATTTCAGCAATCAAGACTCCATTGAAGTGTCCAGAATGTCCCATGCAATTTTGCACTGTGCGATCGTTATTGTGGCATTTTGGAACTCATGGAGCAAGATCAAGAGACACCTGCATTCCTCCAATCCTTCTGCAAGATCTGATAGTTCCATGGGACAAACCCACAGTTTCTGTTTTCATCTCACAGCCTACAGAAAGTGCCACAGCAACACCCACATCATCAGTTGCAGACAATGCAATCAAGATTGATGTAGTAAGTAAGCCAGATGTACCATCAACAATACAACTGGTTAGAACAGAAGATTACATGGGAAACAATGGAGATGTTATTCTGAAAGTACCAATTCCCAGACTGAAACCCAAGTCTCATTCAAATCAGTATGTCAAAAAAGATAAGTTTGTAAACATACTACCAAAGATACCTACAGGTGATGGGCAAGTGTCAGGTCAGACCACCCAAGCTAGCCCTCAGCCAGCATTGATCCGGCCATCTGGATCGCCTACTCCACAGATCACTGTTCATCCTCAGCCAGCAGTTCAGTCCACAGTCAGTATACCTTCAGATCAGGCATCAACAACACAGTCTCAGGTTCCAAAGATCACCATTAGGGCAAGTAATAAACTTCAGATTCAGCCATTGGCATCATCGCAGTCTACGGTGCAAGTGCAGTCACCATCAACAGTTCAGGTACAACCACCATCATTACAAGTACAGCCTCAGTCTGCAGTACAATTACAGCAATCAACAGTGCAAGTTCAGCCCCAGTCTGGGACACAGTTGCAGCAGCCATCTGCAGTTGCAGTACAGTCACAGTCTGCCTTGCAGGTGCAAACTCCAACAGGAGTGCAAGTCCAGTCATCACCTGCATTGCAAGTTCAGCCCATTGTAACAACTAGTAAGGGTTCTTCTGCTGCTCCTAGTCATATAACTTTAATCCCTATGGACAAGTTAACTGCAGTAGGTCAGACCATTAATCCAAGGGGATCTAAGCTTAACCCAGCTCCCTTGAGAATGGTAGCCCCCTCAACATTGCCAGTCAAATCATCAAACACAGTGGACAATGTGCTGGAGAAGGATGGCTTGGTCATGATCAACTCAAATCTTGCTCTTCGCATAGTATCCTCCTTGCCCAGCAGTTTGGACAGTGCTACTAACACAACAAATACCACCACTCTTAGACCAATAGCTAGTCAATCCACAAACAACTTGACTATTGTGCCACAGACAGAAAGCAACAAGCTAATCAACTCCTCTAAGATAGAGAGTGCAAAAAGTCCTGACATTCTAACGATTGTTCCTCAAGTTGATTTGAATAAAAAAGTTTCGTTGTTAAAATCTGGGAGTTCAGTGTCTGGCTGCCAAGTTGCTAGTGCTTCACCAAAACAGGCATCAGCAGCCCAGTCCCAGGTTGTGAAGCTATATCTCCTTCAACCCAAAGATCCAAAAGCAAATGGGGGTTCAGTTAAATCAGGCATTACATCAGAAACAAGTAATGTTAATGGAATAGAAATACCACTTCCTCTACCTAATGGAAATGAAAAACTCAACTACAGAGAAGTAGAAGTGAAAGATAACACATCAGAATCCTCTGAAGGAGAGGAAGAGGAGGAAGAGGAGGAGGAGGAGGAGGATGATGATGATGAAGGAATGGTAATTGATGATGGTAAGGAAGGAGAGGATGATGTAATGGATCCCCTGAGTTTATGTGCTGTGACAATGGAAGATGAGAATCTAGAAGCTTTAAACAATGCAAGCCAAACTACCCAGTCTGGTGGGTCCTCTCCTGCCACATCACCTGATAAGGTTATCATAAAAAAGTTGCCAGTAAGACCCAAAGGCAAAAATGGACAAGCAGTTGATATTGTGAAATATGAGGCTCGAAAGTATGTGTGTTGCTATTGTAACAGGAGATTTGGATGGTCAACTGATCTCAAGCGCCATGTTATCCTCCACACTGGTGAGAAACCTTTCCAGTGTAAAGTGTGCCCAACAGCATTTACCAGAAAGTTCCTTTTACAGAATCATATGAAGAGAATGCACCCAGACAAGTGTAAGATGTCAGACCTGTGGCCTTAGGAAAGTTTAGGCTGTTATGGTCTTTAGCTTGTTATAATATAGCCAGTAGCTGAGTGATTTTTATAATGAGTTGCACAGACAACATAGTTGTTGATATTGGTGCTGAAAAAGAGAAAAATTAATATTCAAGTACACAAATTGCCATGATGTACACCTTTGGGAGTTCATGCATGTGGATGCTTGGACACTAGTCAACATATCCTTTTAAAGTCAAAAGAATTATATCATACTTTTCAGATTTCTAAAATATAGAAGATGTATTATTAGTAAAGCATTTGTAACAGGTCTTATTAGGAAATCCTTTCTTGAGTGTTCTTTGTCCCTTGCAAAGTAAAATATTTTTGTTTTAGGATAATGAAGATATAGAAATTATTGAAGAGGTCATTACTTTTTTTTATTAGCTTACAAAAATATGCTAATTGAGAGTATGACTTTATTATGTTTGGGGAAGAAATACTTTCAATTTTTCTTACTTGGTTTTCTGCTCATGTAGCTCTTGAGAAATCTATATTTTTCCACATACAATCTTGAACCATGGATGGCATTTGTCTAAAGAAATTAAGGAAAAAGATGGGGTTGTAATAGGTAGACTGATTGATGTATTGACATTCTTGTTTTATTATTATATTGCAGTCACCAACCTTATTTTGTAGATTTATCATGTTGATTTTTCTTTCTTTCTCTTTTTTTAGTTTTGCAGGTTACCAAAGATAATTACATTCATGTATCGTAAGGCAATGAAAAAGGAATGAATATGAAATTTGATAACAAGGATATAATTATTGTTCTTTATTATTTTTATTATTATGATAATGTAAAAGTGGTTCATATAGATACTTTGCTGTTTATTTTATTTTTTATTATTATCTATAGATTGATTTAATTAAATTTATTCTTATATTTTTGTTCTTCAAATTTTTCGTTTTTTTGTTATGTATTCAATAGTGAAGGAAAATATTTGTAATTTTAATTTACAGAATATTCTGCTCCCATTTCTATGCAGTGTAGTTGTATTATTGCCAGTTGTTACTCTTCATATGCAGGAAGGATGAGTTTGGATGTAAGTAAATCTAGAGCACATACCGGAAAGCTTTGTCGTCCAGTTGTTGGTTTCATAAGCATTGTACAAAGTCGGACCATGTATTTGAGATACAAACAGAAAAACGGAATTGAGTTACAATTTCAGTTGTTGCCAGTGCCATATAGATACTAGGATGATCAAAGATGCAGTGACAATGTTTATAAGTTCCCTCTCTAGTGAAGTGAGCTGCTAATAATACTTTTGGGTACATTTATCAGGACAGGCCTGTTAGCTGGGGTGTACTTACAGGAGCCTGGTGTGCTTGCAGAAATTTTATGAACAAGAATCTACAGTATGTGTGAACAAGATTTTTCTGTACTTGCATGTCCCAGTTGATTGTACAAGAACTGGTTGTGTATACACAAGCCATTTATACAATATTAGATTGAACTACTATTTATATACCATTGCTGCAGAAGTGACAATAGTGAAGGACAGAGTAGGGCCTTTGGTGAGATTACCGAATGGATAACTTTTTACAGTCTTCAGTCTTTTACTCATAATTTAATAAAAAAAATAGCTTGGGCTTTTGTATGCCATGAACAGAGAATGTAATATTCACTATCTACTACCCTATGAATGGAGAAAAACATTTTCATTAGGTATCGTTCTTTCATAGAGCATTGAGACTGCATCGTTTATTGACTTTACATTAATTTGAAATTCCAAATTTCAGTACACTACTATATTGAATTTACATTAATATGAATTTTCCAAATGTCATTACACTACTACATTGATTTGAATGTTTCAAATTTCATTACACTCCTTAACTTGACTAGTAAAATTATTTTCACTTCTATGTTTTTGTACAGCTGAAACCAGTATATTGAGTCTGATCTCAGCAAACTAATTGATAATGCTAAAGAGGCAAGTTGGCATCCTGACACCACTCCATGCAATTGAAAGTGTATATGTGAGAGTAAAAGTGAGATATTTTTCTTCTGCATTTTCTCTCATTTTTTATTGTTCTAGTGTGTAGTACTTTGCACATGTTTATAACCATAATGCAGGAGTACATGTTAGTTATGTTTATGTTTTTCATTGCATTTCAATTTTGTATCATTAGCACTAGAGCAAAGTGTGTACATCACTGAAATTGAGTATCACTAATTTACATTTTTCACATTAAAGATTTGTTTATATTAGGTGAAGTTGTACATCTCCATAATTGTGCATGTTTGTCACTGAATAAATCTAAAGCCTTGACCTCAGAGTGGCAACAGTTTAGAGATAACAAATATGAAGAGTAGCATTTGTTGATTTCATTCATTTTTAGGTGTCAGTGATATGATTCATATTAAATGCTGAGTGACATATATCCCTTGGTTTTAAGGTATTAGAGCTTGATTACATAGTCTTGGATAAGATCAGATTTTTGTAATTCAGATTCTATGTTTTATACAGTCAGTTTTGCATAATCAAATATTGAGATGTTTGTACTGGGGCTCTTGCAAAACCCTCCTCGGCACAGTTGTGAATATGCACTGAATTCCCCCATAGATTTTACATGGTACAACAGCTATTCACAAAGGCAGACTGATGATATTTAATGATAGTTATGAGTCTGGAGCAAGTCAACACTTTCTGATTGTTATGCAAAAGTTGACCATCAAGTGATGAAAGCTCTCTTATACCTGTTGCTAGAGTCATCTGAATATTTTGAAATGCTCTGTGTTCAGCATTAAGCATCTGCATTTTTTCCTCTGGATTGTAAATCTAAAAATAATTGGATTATGAAGATGATAAGACTTGTGGCGTAGCGTGATGCACTGGTTAAAAAAGCCACTTCTCTATATGTAAAACAAATTTGTAGCTTATTTTTATGCAGTTTTGCAGAGTATTTTTCACATTTTCCTATTCACATCACTGTATATAATCAAAGGAAATAGTCATCACTTCTCATCAAGCAGGCAATTTTGGATGCTTCATTACTGTATTCATATATGCAAATGATATTTTCTCACCTCCTCCTTTTCCTCCTCCTTCCCTCTACTCCCCTCTCATCTCCTCCTTCCTCCCCTCTCCCCACCTCTTCTCTTTCCTCCCCTCTCCCCTCCTTCCTCCTTCTCTCCCACTCTCACTCTTTCCCACACTTCCCATTTTTCTTCCTCTTCCTCCCTCCTCATCCCTCCCTTCCTCCTCTTCCTCATTTTCCTCTTTCTCCTCTACCTCTTTCACTTCCACTTCCCCTTCCCCTCCCCAGCCCTTCCTCCTCCCTTCCTCCTACCTTCCTTCTCTTGGAGTGTTGAGAGATATAAATTGTGTCAGGAATCAGAAGTCAGGCGTTAGTTCATGTTTTACTTGTCTGCATTCTAAGCTATGATCATCTTCCTGCATTTTAGGTTTTATTCCTCTCTTATGCTTTGTTTGTGAACTTGATAATATATTTTCATATGTTTGTATCTGTAATGTGTGGGTATGTGAAGATCAGCAAAATATTTAATGAAGTAGTAGTGGCCAGTGGTACCTTCTTCATTTGAACATAATCCGTGCTATTACTTGTATGCTGTCTTCTTTCTTTCTTTCTTATTCTCCTTTCCTGCATTTTGTATGGTTTGTGGAAGGGCAATTTGTTTGTTTTCTTAAGAGAGTTGCTGTTATTAATACTGTTTTTCTCATGATCAGAAACCTTTGTGATTAATTTCTTTAGTTATTATCAAAAACATTATTCTGTTACTGATTGCTACTCTTATTTTTACTATCATTATTGCCATTTTTTATTTACTATGGAAGCTATCATTTTTTATTATTATTATTGTTGTTATTATTATTTATTGTTATTGTTATAATCACCATCATTAGTATTGGTATTATTACATTATTATTATTATTGTTATTATTATCATTATTACTATTATTATTATTGTTATGATTATGATTATCATCATCATCATTGGTGTTAATAATTTAATCAGTTATTAACATTATTGGTATTTGTATTATTATTGTCTATTATTATTAGCATTTATGAGTAGTATATGGATTAATTATTATTGATTATGATTATTATCACTATTTTGGTTTTAGTTGTTATCATTACTATATATGTTGCTACAACTATTACTTTACCGATACTGTTGCCATTGCTACTGCTTTTGCTGTTACTGTTACTAATACCAATGATATGTATTACTTTTTTGACTTTGGTATTACTATTATTATTACTACTACTACTACTACTACTACTACTACTACTACTACTGCTGCTGTTATTATTATTATTACCATCATCATTGTTTTTTTATTGTAGTTGCAGTAAGGGACTGATGGCGGGGAAATTTATGGCCAGTTATATGCAGAGAATATTTTATAGATTGTTTTGTCTAATTTTTATTATTCTTTTCTTATGTTTCTGCCTTTCTTTTGCAGTGCCATGTATAAGTGCATTTGGAAGTGTGTGTGTGAATGTTAAATGATTTGAAACTAGAATGATTTTGCAGCAATGCTTAAGTACAGTCAATATATTCATCAAATGGTCCTTTTGTTTTTTTCTTCATATTGGTACCATTTTATTATAAAAATTTTGCCTTTGTAAGAGAACAGAACAATTTGGAGTATTGACTGTATGTTGCATATTCTAGTCTGTGTCATATGTTTTATGTTTCCTTGGAGAAGTTTCTCGTTAGAAGTACAAATATAGAATGGGATAGTTCATTTCTTCAATGCCACAAAGATGACTTCTGATGTATAATTATATTTATGCAATTTTAGTTAACTATGCTGCAGAATCCTCATAAAAGGAAATTTCACTGACCCTCCAAGTTTTTGTTATTTATTTACGATATATGCCACACAATGACTTAAAATGGGATATTCAATTGTAATACCAAAATAGTCTATGGATAGTCATGGAATGTATTCCTATATACTGTATAAATTTTTATGAAGGCTTGTGTACAAGTGCAGATTTTTACTGAAGTACAGTTTTCATATGTATGTAGTTATGTCTTTAGTCTACATAATGTAATTGCTGTGTTAATGTTGAGTATGAACTTTATTTAAAAAAAACATTGTAATCTGTACATAATGTGCAGTGAAAGTCTGAAAAGGTGAAGTAAGCCTATCAAATGAAAAGCCCCATTGTTGTTATGTGAGTTTCATTAACCTACAAATTTAGAAGAAAAAAAGAAATAAAGGAGATGGAGATTCAGCTCTCACCTCAACTAATTTTACATGGTCTTTTCTCTTCCACCTTTCATTTTCCTTCTCTTTTCTCCCCTTCCTATGTCCCCTTTCTAAGGTGTATGAGCTGTGCTGAAAGCATAGAAAGACAGCTTTGCATCAGTCATGAACGGCCTCCAGGAGCCATGAGCATGGTATTCTTATGGTTAATGACCTATCCCTTATCCGTGGTTCCTATGGTTAATCGTCTATCCCTTATCCGTATAGGGACCCTGAAGGGTAGCCTGTTTCTTTTCCCAATTTATTTGTGTCGCACCATGTCCAATAATGAAGATTCTTAACCTAATTAGGGACATTATGGCTTGTCCTTTCATCATGACACCTCCCTCCCCCCCCAAATCCCTTGCCCGTTGTTGTCGTGGACCTAATACAGGGATCTCCCCTGCCAAGACCCCCAGCCCTCGACAACTAATTTTGCATGGTCTTTTCTCCCTCCAGCTTTCTATTTCCCTCCCTTCGCCAACCCCTTCTACTATCTACTTCCTAAGGTGTGAGACCTGTGCTAAGAGGATGAAAGGCTGACCTTGTGCCAGTCCTGAATGGCCTGCGGGAACTATGGGCACGGTACTGCCGATTTAGTCTAGCCCTTACCTTCAATAGCGATGGAGGTGGACCGTGGAGGTTCCCCATGACCAGTAATGAAAACGAAATCCCTTTATTAGAGGCAATGAGGCTTGCCCCTTTATCAAATAGCCCCAACCCAGGCTCTCCCTTGACCACGACTCCTAACACTGAAACTACAGAGAATAAATCTCCAGAAGAAATTCTTACCCTCCCAACTTCTTCAAATTCATCAACTCTACCCCCGCAACCTTCATCAAGCACCCAATCCTCCCTTATTACTACCTTACAGGCTTATTCTCCATCACATCTGTAGGGTTGGTGGTGGTGGATGGTCGGGGACGTGTGGAAGAGGGACTATTACAGAGTGATGGAGAATAAGCCTGTAAGGGAGGATTGGCTCTTCCACACGTCCCCAACCATCCACCACCACCAACCCTACAGATATCTTAAATACTCTGTTTAGTTTAGCCCAGCTAAATGGGACCGATTTTTCGTGATCCCTTCTACAGATCCTTTCTCAGGCAACACTCTTCTCTTTCAACAATGCCTCCAAAAACAAGTGGGCAGAGTCCCTTTCTATACCAGACGCGATCGCTCCCGTCTTGTAACAGTCAGATCAGAAACTGAATCTATGGCACTATCAAATTAAACTGATAATTCTGCCAACCCCATTCCTGCAGAACCTCATCCAACCCTTAATACGTTTACCGGTCTCTCCCCAGCAAACTGCCCAGTCAATACCAAAGATTGGTCAGACTGTGGAGAAGACTTATTAGGATGCCTCAAAGACCAAGATGTGAAATCAGTACATTGCTACACCATTCCTCCTAAAGGTTAGCGAAAGAATCCGACCAACATTGCCAAAATTACTTTCCGTACACATGACCTTCCCTTACGTATCTACATCAGTGAACAATCCCTCCCAGTACGACCATACCAACCCCCTCCCCGTCAATGTCAAAACTGTTGGCGCTTTGGACAGCCTGCCAAACACTGGCTTTCCAAACCCCAATACTCCTTAAGTGCCCAACCTGGTCATAATCGATCAAACTGTTCAGCACAAACACGAACATGTGCTAACTGCGGCGGCCCCTGTAATGTATTTTATAGAGGCTGTCCCACTTACAAGTTTGAATCTGAGGTATCAACTCTCAGATACAAAAACGGTCTCACCTTACGTGAAGCCAGACAGGAAGCACGTCGACAAGGTTTTTCTCATACTCCATACTCTAGTAACATCATTCGCTCAGCCCCTCCCCCTCCACCCCAAGAAGTCCCCATTTCCACTTCTACATTCTACCTCCCTCAGACCAATTCCTTTGCCACTCTAAATCCAGACACCCCAATCTCAACTACAGCCCCAACCACTACTACATTCTACCCCCTCAGACCAATTCTTTTACCACTCCAAACCCAGACACCCCAATCTCAACCACAGCTCCTATCTCAACTACAGCCCCAACATCACCCCCTCTCCCTCCCCGCACTACCCGCAGCAGACAGACTAAACGTTCTAACCCTTCTTCCCCTACAGTACAATCACCTCCACCTACCTTTACCTTTATTCCTGAAACACCAGTCTCCTCTCCCCCCCCCCATAAGAAAACCTTTATCCCATAAAACTCTCCAACCAACTCCATTGCAGAAACAATTGCCTTCTCACAAAACTCTCCAACCAATTCCACTGCAGAAACAATGGATGACATCCAAAGTTATATGCTTAAGACACAAGATCCCATAACTCATGCTCCTTCCACACTTGAAGTGGTTGCCGATATTCATACCCCTCCTACTAATATTCCCCCTACACCCCTTCCTCCTCCTCCCTCTCAACACAACCTAACCCCCTCAATTCCGTCCACCTCCGATATCCATCCTCATAATACCCATCCTCCTGATATCCATCCCCCTCTTACTCACAGCACCCCTACACCCCTTCCTCCTAATCCCTCCCAAGACAACACATCCCCTTCAACTCAAACTATCCATCCTTCCGATATCCACCCTCCTACCATTAATACTCCCCCCACATCTACTCCCTCCATCCCCTCTATCTTTTACACTCCCAACCGGATACACACGAGAATCACTCATGTCACAACAATGCCCATCCCCAAATTCCCTACCTACTAATACCCCTCCTTCACACCCCCTAGCTCCTTCTCCCCCAGATTCCCCAATACGTACCGTATGCGATATCACTCATAAGCTATAGTCTCCTACATTGGAATATTCGCGGTTTCCGTTCTCATAGACCAGACCTACGTCATATCCTTGCTTCTTGTAATCCATCTATTATCTGCCTCCAAGAG